TTGCACACCAAAATAATAATCTAGAAAGATGGAGATCCTCCGAAAAAAGGCGTCCCTACACGGGATTGGAATTCCCACACTTTGTGTGTAAGGTCTAGAGTCCAACAGTCTGTTGTGTTATCTTTGGAGGTACATGTGCACATATATAAAGTTTTACGGCGCTCGCAACTTCCAACAGTCTAACGTCACCGTTTGTTGCTGTCGAGAAGCACAAGTGGCTTGCCATGATCTATGTCCATTTTCATTGTTCAGCGCATTACAACATAAGTTTCGATGCGATCGATGGCATTGAGTACACATTCGAGTTATGTTAGGGGACGTAAATGAAGATGCAATTAACACGAAATTTTTTTCACAATTTTTAAAATCTTTATTTTTTTTCATCAACATTCGTTCTCACTTTGGGGCTCAGTGTACAATTGACTGTGATATGATTTGTTTTAAAAACAATGATAACGTCAACCATGGATGTACAATCAGGTCAAAAGATCAAATCCTGGACAATCAAAGTTGTACATTTGTTACAAAATTACAGTCAGCAATATACTATCGCACTTTTACAGTCTGGCAAAATATGACACAATCAAATCAGCTAGTTACACTCTAGACAATCGACGGGATAGATCTACATGCTTTACAGATTTCTTTCAACGCGTCAGCAAATAATGATACAATCAAACCAGCAGGGGTAAATCAACATCTACAATTATTTCAGGTCTTTCACAAGCAAAATAAACAATTACTAAAGAGAGGGGGGGATAAGCTTGGTAGATCCCCGTATTGTAACGAGTAATTCATCACATAAGCTGTCTTTATGTGTGTGTATGTTATTTTTGTGTGTTTGTTGTTGTTTGGTTTGTTGTTGTTGTTGTTGTTGTTGTTTTTTGGGGGGGGTGTTGGGGGGAGGGGGTACGGGAGACAAAGGGGCCTATCAAAACTATCCAAATAAATCTTTAATGTTCAAGCTTAATACAGTTTTAGGTAAAGTCACAAAAAGACATATCTGTCCTCCAAGTGCACTCCACCCCAATGCAGTACTCGATATATGAACCAAATAATTTCTCATTTAGCAGCTTGTTCTTTCAAGTACAAGTGGCAAAATGACAAATGATTATGTTCATAGGAGCGTTATTAAAGACTTGACTGACAAGCATTATAAGTCAATATGACAGGAAACAAACTTACAGGCACCTAAATATCTGTAAGATTCGAAAAAACTGGGAGCTGTTCACTTATGTTCTTAACATCTTTGCGGTGTTTTGATAAAACCTTTGATGACAATGCAACAATGATGTACATCATCAATACAAAAGCATACAGATACGTACATACATGCACTCGCACACATATCATTATACACACGTACACACACAAACACACTCATACACACAAACACACTCATACACACAAACACACTCATACACACAAACACACACTCATACACACAAACACACTCATACACACAAACACACTCATACACACAAACA